ATCTTAGATAGCTAAGACAAAACTGCACAGATCACATATAAGTCGTTAGGGATGTGGACAAAGATTTTAATTATTACTCGGGAGTAGTCCCCAGAATTAGTCATTTTACCCCAGGAAACTGGCCAGAAGGCAAAACTTAGACCGACTCGGTTTAGGTGTGACGTAGGGGCTCTCTTATATGTCCGCGCACGGCTTTAAAAAGGGGAGCACACGAATTAGGGGTCATTTCGAGCGTTGGTCAGCATACCTGCCGTGTGCCTTTGTTCAGTGCGGCCCATTGGAGCGCTCTGTAAGTAGAGGCCATTTTATTTCTTTGTGGTTAGTAGGAACTTGTTGAGTGTTAGCATTGGAAGATTTCTGTTCAGACTTATAACCAGGATATAGTGTAGAATAACCTACAGCGTGTAGACTTATGCTCAGGCTATTTTAAAGGTTAACATACAACCGGTAAATAAACTCTTTAATAGGATTAATAAATGAGATACCAGTGACCAGGGTTTGTGAGCGTAATAAACAACTGCATATCGTTCTGGGTACACATACTGCAATGCGCTTATAATATAAGCTATTGATACAACAGTATGCAACCAGCGAGTGTCCGTCAAATATGTGTAATAGGCTAACTTTCCTGCCGTGTGCTAAATTCTCACATAGGAAATAGTGCATGTGTGAGGATCATATTCCATATAATGATTCGTTCTGCAATCTGCTGTTGTCTTAACAAGACACAGCGATGGACAGATACAAGTATCAAGCCAACGGTGGTCATACTTTATACCATTGTCTTTACTGTCCTGCTATGTGTGCTTCTTACATAGACACCATACCTGGATGGCATACTATAATAACTTCAAGATCTTTAAAGTTTATGTTAGCCCTCACATCGCACTCTGGTTCTGTGTGTAGCATTAACACTGTGCACATGTTTCAAATTAAACACTGCACGTGGTTTATTTTATAGTTAAAACATTCGTAGTACAAGATAATTATCTTTGCCATGTGTATGAAACAATACTACGTACGTATCATTTATCATGCTTTCTAATTAAGTATATGTTGTCACCACATGTAATGACGTGGTTATGTAACATGTTTATTGTTAGCTATGTTAGTCAGGACATTGTTGACCTGTACTGTTTGTTTATTTTCAGATATTGTCCTTTTTCTTTCTTTTTCTTTTTTCTTCTCCATAGTTCATAGTGTACTTTGTTCTTCATAGTAGAGCATTAATACAGCTATAGTCCTCGAGACCTACATTTCTTCATTTGTTTAGTAGTAACTGTCTGTGGCACCTGGGTCACCCAACAATACCCACACTACTACAGTTTTTGGCGTTTGTCGGCAGGATCACCACACACCACACTACTACAGTTTTTGGCGTTGTCACCTAAGTCAATCCCACCACCACCACACACACTCTACTACAGTTTTTGGCGGCGTCGGCAGGATCACCACCTACACACCACCACTAAGCCACACACATGGCTACATATAATATAATCCTAAAACAATTATAACATAAATGCAGTTAAGGAAGATTTAATAATCATATAATTTTTTACTTTTTACTATAATAAGTTGCAAAATATCATCAATGTCTATATGGCTATTGGCAAAGAGCCTTATTTGAAGCACTTGCCTTCCTTATCAAAAACCAAATTGGCCTTGAAGAAACCTTCTCTAGGTGCATCTAATCCAACACTGAGGACTTTGTTGACAAAAAAGATAGTTTGTGTTTTGGTGATCTCAAACATGTGTTCCACAATCAACTGATCAACCAGCTTCACAAAGTTGCCAAGGAGGCTGTCCAGAAATAATTGTTGTAAATAAATAATGATAGTCCAAGAAAGTTAGTTAATAATTTAATTATCATTTGCAGATCCTGAAAAGAACGACTGATTGGTCAAACACAAAATCAAAATGAAGACACCATAATAAAATTTCGTTTTCATCAATTTGTTTTATCTTCTTAATTACTTTTTTAAAAGTAACCTGTGCTCACATCTAGACAACTCTCTTAACAAACCTAGTTTCTTGCTTTGCATTAGCAAGATTCTTCTCTCTTTCCTCTTTCTTCATTCTCTGAAGTGACAAAGAGTCTTTGGAACTGATGATGCAATGGGAATTTAGAAAGAAATATTAATTTTATTTTAACAACTTTAATTACCATTTAGGTTTATGCAATGACAAATATGTCCATGTAATATGCTTCAACTTAGTCGATCTCATTATTATCTATATATTCTTGTGTCTAACTTTGTGTTCAAACAAATAGCCAAACAATTTTATTTTATTTCAAATTCATGTGTTTAAGTTACTGTATACTCGCACTTAAGTCACAACAGTGGATAGGTTACACCCTTAGTTTGGGGTTGTCAAATAGCATATTTGCGGCTGACCAGCAGATAGGCTTCCCCTTTTTTTTAGGAGTTACACGTTCCTTTTTATCTTAAATACAACTAATATAACAGATGTGACAAAATGTTTCAATAACAACTTGAAAACTGAAAAGCAATGATCATAAACTACGTGATCTTCAATAAACCTAAAAACACAGACTGCCCTCTACTGTGGCGGGGAAAATTTGTTTTCTCTCTCTTTCTCACTTTAGTTGCTATGTTTGAATCCATGCTACGCGGTTGGTCTATTGGTATGCACCATCTACTTTAGATCCCTGTGATGTTGATTGGATTTGTCCCCCACTTGATTTTTATTTTAAAAATACTGTTAAAAAAGTGCGACCTTTACCTGAGTATACATGGTGATACTAACCAAATTTAATTTTTAATGTCTTAAATACTTTAATCAAATTAAATTGGCTTCTAGATGACAAATTTGTAAACATTTATTGAATTAGATTTCTATAACTCATGTATTTTAAAACGTACAAATATGTCTTCTTTTTCAGCTGCTCCTCACAATGTCGTAACTTTTTAAAAGCCTCATCTGAAGTAAAATCAACAACCATTTTGCAGTACCTGAAAAACAAATTGTGATTATTATGGAAAGAAATGTATACATAAATAACAAGTATCATATTTTCTGGCGTATGATGACTGGGTGTATAAAACGACTCTCTACTTTTCCTGTTAAAATATAGGGTTTGGGCTATACTCAAGTATAAGACTACTCCTCTTCCTGTGCACACCAAATAAAAATTAATTGTTTTAATTTTTTTTAAATATTCACCTTTGGATGGAGAGTTTTATTTCCAACCATATAAAAATTCACTCGAGTTTCATCCATATTTTCAATACTACTTAACATATAGCCATGTTTATTGCGCTGTTTGGGATCAAATTTTTTTTGCAATTTTCATCTTTTGCCGGCATGCACCGCACGGAGGCTCAGCTAGAGGATGCCTGTCCCTGAAGTTTCAGCACGCCGTATACCAGCTTATTAGATGACCCCTTGCATATAAGACAACCCCGACTTTTGAAAAGATTTTCATGGTTTAAAAAGTCATCTTGTACGCCAGAAAATATGGTACATATTGCTCTCTTTATTTGATTTGTAAAAAGTCTCCAAAGTTAAAATTAATTTGCTTTTTTAAGCAATAATAAGACACAAGTGTTAAAAACAGATTTGTTTAAGAGCTATTAATTTGTAAATAGACTTACTTAAAAAATCTGCCCAAAAGTTGATCTGCCTGAATATTTTTGTAGTTAATACTGTTTTCAAACTCTCCAAGTTCATATGTTTTGCTATGAAGAGATAGAAAAAATATTAAGTAATATTCTTATATCTTCTCATTTTTTTTCTTTTTGTAACCTACGTCTTCCTTTGATATATAACATTCTATGCAACAACCAAGTGGGCTTAGACAAGAATCAGTACAGTTACTAGCATTAAGATTTAAGATTATTTTCTATAGTCGTAATTTGATTGCATGTCCACAGCTACCAGGAAAAAACAGTTCAAGAACAGCAAATTTATTTTGAACCATCCAATTATGAGATTAGGAAAAGGCTAAAGATAATAGTAATCTATCTGAGTATGCCAAGAACTCACCAATGAATGTGACCTTCAATGTTGAATATTGTTTCAACTTGAGTTTTTATTTTTAATGTATTAATTTTTAAATCTTTTGATAACTTAGCCTCCTTTTTAAAAAAAAACTTATTTTGTAATCTTTAATAGCATAGAAAATTATATGCAATTATTATTTTTCCAAGACTTTGCAAGTTAAAAATGTATTTGTCTCTAAAACCACCAGTTCACAAACAGATCAACGTTTTATACTTACTCTATTTCTGAAGGGAGAAATGGGACTGTGAGAAGCTCTTTTAGCAAACTAAAAAAAAGTAACAGAAGCATGGGACTACTTTAAAAGTGAAAATGCTAATTATATTATCACTGACAACAACAAGAGTATATATTTTTATTTCAAATTAAAACTATTAATTTTTTTATACATCTTAAACAACAGAACATGAAGTAAGTCTTAAATTAAAGGCATGGGCATGACCAAGTTCATTTTCAGGTCCCACTGTTGTTTAATTTTATAAATGCATCTGACCTGCATATAAAGCAACAAATGTAAGTAGCTTCCCCTTGACAGAATATTAGCTTAGATGTATGCTATTTGGTATGAACCCAGTTCATTTTAAATTTCATAATAATTTAAATGATTTTGACATTTATACTTTATATTAATTAAATTAATTTCTTTTGTAAATGTGTATTGCATTATTAATAATGCTATGGAACAAGATTAACAGATAATATTATACATGGATATGGAATTTTAGGGCTCTTTTCAAACAAAAAAAGTTAGTGGCTTGCATTACATGTTGATCATGTTTTAATATGCTGAAAAAAATAAACAGAACTTCAATTCATTCTAATATTAAGTTTCTTCTTTGTCATCCATCAAATAAATGCTCATAGGGAAACAAATTTATCATCAACAGATCCCGAGACAATATAAAAGCTTAGAATCTGCATTTGCTGGTCCAACTATTTGGAACGCCCTTCCTGTCGATCTCAGAAACAATCAGACACTGGAGTCCTTTAAAACAGATTTAAAGACACATCTATTTCGCAAACACCTTCTGGGATGGTTGTCAACCTTATTTTCCAGTTAATGCATAATGGCTGTGTTGCTTGGGGTTGAAATGGCTAGAAAGACTCTGCAATTGTATGCTAGTAATTAGTTTTTGGAGTGTTGCGTTTGTTTTAAATGTGGTAAATTATAGATTTGTATTTCGTTGACTTTGTACCGCGCTTCGAGCCTTGGGGATGAAGCGTGTTTTTGAAATGAACTTTATTATTATTATTATTATTATTATTACTGAGAAATCTGCAACAGTGCAGCTCCAAAGGGTGGCATGGCTGATAATAAATTTGACAGAACTTGTCTTTGTCTTCTCTGAAACTCTGTGAATTGGTGATTTGTTTTCCACCTGAAATATTGATTGATGATACAAAATTTGAGATGTTTTGGTTTTAATTAATCATCCAAAGAAATATGAGGGTTTAACTAAGTGTATATCTCTCATTTCTTTTTGCATGACCCAAAACAAAAGTACCATGAACCCACCAAAATATAAACAAGAACTTTGCTACATTGTGAGCTAATACAACAGCTGATCAAATAAAAGTTTCAGAAACAATAGTGCAGTGTGAAAAAAAAAATGTATTTATATCTTTTAAAAATTTTACTTCACTTCTGTTTATCTATGTACAGGGGAGGAGGATGGTACTTTACTAATTGCCTCCCTTGAATTTACTACTGTATTAGTATTTACCTGTGAAAAGCTTTCCTAATGAGATAATTCTTGAAAAAGGGGATATTTGATATAGCATTCCATAATACTGCTTCTCGCTGCCACTCAGCTAGTGTCAAACTTTCTGAAGCCTGGTCTGGGTAAACATGCAAGACTCCAAATGTTGAAAAGACATAGTGCTCTGGATTAGCCTATTAGCAATGGGAAAGAAGGAAAAAAGCAAGTATGTCAGGATGAAAATTATAAGTAGGATTGCTGTGCTTTTCTTTACAAAACAAGTGATTAAATAATAATTATCTTATAATCACATCATACTTCTATTAAATGTGATAAAAGATGTTTAAATTTAGAAAATGAGTTGTAAGACATTAATAGAATATTGTTGTCTTGTGCTTTAGTCAAATGTGCTGAGCTTCTAAACAGCTTTCCATCTCAAGCTTTTACCTTTGACTCTCTGAAATAAATGTATATCATTGCTTAATTAAGGGGTATTGTATGGGGTGTGGGAAGACCCATGTTTATTTACATTTTTATTAGTAATTTTTATAGTGGGGGCTGTGGGACATATACTTTGAATTTGATTTATTGGTGTGGAAAATGTTTTGAAAACTATAGGGGGTTCTGTATTGTAAAAAGGTTACAAAGCCCAGGCTTAATAAATCCTTATATGTTCTTTTGTTAACATCTTGACAGGTGCATTTTTCATCTTATTTGTCTATCTGTAATAAAATCTTAATTATTTTGAATGTTTATGTAATATGTACTCCGGCAGAATTATCCTATATTTTGAAAGTATTTCATTTTTCTGCTCCAGGTAAAGTTGTGAAGTCAATATACAGGGTGAAAGTATATTTTTATAAATGATATACTCCTGCATAAAATTAACTGACCTTAGATTTAGGCACAGAGATTAGATCATAAGGTCTATAGTGCTTGTTTGTGGCAAGATTAAGGTAAAGGGATTTGATTTGACCCATGTGGTAGCAACTTGTAAAGTACTGAACTGCTTCTCTCCCATTCATCACTAGAACCTCTTCTTGCATCTGTTTTAGAAGCATTTAGTTAAGTGATGACAAAATTGATAATTATTCAAATTTGTTTAAAAATTGAAAAGTTAATTTCCATTAAAAAAGCTTTTGGATGCAGTGACATGTAAACTATACTATTGCTTAGAGTTGAATGGAAAATAAAAAGTTAAAAAGTTACTTATAAAATAACTATTTCAATTTCATAAAGTTATAATTTTATATATATATATTGGTTCTTTCTGAAGTTTGTCAAAAATACTTACATTTGGAACAGGTCGAGGAGTTTTTTCTTTTCTAGAAGACAACTGCAATACATGTAGACTTTTTCTTACAGAGCTGGGCTCATCCTGAGTTGCATCTTTTTCCTTAATAAATAATCAGAGACATTTTTTCATAAATTGAAATGCTATGCAGTTAGGGGGGTATTTTTTAAATTCCTATACTCAGAAACCAGTAAAGCATTCAAAATGTTGGTTATAGATGATTTGAAATAAATGTGTTCATCACAGAATTTTTAATAGTTAAAAGGATAACTCAGCAGTTTACCAGTGATGATCAATCAGAGCAGCGTCCAATCCCCCCGGCAATTTTAGATGAGTTAGTCCCATCAAATCACGTGTATATTAATAATTATAAAAGAAATGTTCCAGTTCTCAGTCCATTTCTTGTTATTCAAATAGTTCAAATCATTAGCAGGAAAAATTGATTATTGAATTTAATTATCATAATAAATTATTCATTTTAAGTGATAACTATTTAACTGACCTCCTCTGGGAGATCTGTGGCCAGTGCCAGAGCAGTTGTGCCAAGTGTATGATTCCAAATAGACTCTCCTACATTTCAATTACAATTAATTATTTTGTTTTATTTCCATTCAATAGAAACAATTTAATTCAAACAGTCGATACTTTATATTGACAAGTAAATGATGAAATAAAAGAACGAATATCCTAATTAACTCATTAACATATCCATAATACACATTTTGTTTTTTAAATGATCACTGTAATTTATCTAAATGTCTACAGAGCGAGCTTCTACTTAATTGTACTTACTGGCAGCCATTTCTAAAGCAACAGCTCCCATTGACTTGCTGATGTCTCTGATAGTTAAACTTTTTGCTCCTACTATCTCTTTGTCCGTCTTAACAAAATTTCAAATGTTAAACTTTACTAATTTATTTAGTAAGAAGCAAGATTTAAATTACATAATTTGAATGCTTAACCACTTGAAGTAGCTTATATCGCTGATGATTTTGTTTTAATAATCAAGTCAAATCATTAAGTCTCTATACTTTTTAATTCAGCTTTTTTCAAATTTTATTGAAAGGAGGGTAAGAGTTTTAAGGGGGACACATAGTATTGAAAATTTTAATTTGATCATGGGAAAAAATGCATTTTCTATTAATTAGATGTTTTAGAGATTAAATAGAGAATATTGGAAATCCCTCCATCTTGAATAATAATTTTAAAAACTAAATTTTGACAAAATTTGAACTCAAAATGTTTAGTGACTAATATCATTGCAGAAATTTGTTTTTAAACTATAAGTAAACTCTCATTTAAATTACAGAATTATCAGTTTTTTTATTTTCAAATCTTACAGGAATGTAAGAGGAGTAAGGATTAGTTCCATCTGGTAACAAATTTCTTGGATTCAGGTGTGATTTTGATGGTACAGTATCTTGCTGCCTCATGGCTATCATGCGGCTGGGAGTTCCCAAACCTTGTGTAAGAGGTGGAACAATGCAGTAGTTTTTTGCAGGGGCTAATCCTTTGGCTTTGAGTTGTCTGACATGCTAGCAATTCATGGGGAAAAAAAATATATATTTATCACCTATGAGTTTTGGAATTTTTAAGAAATCATCACACTGAAATATTACAGATGAACTGAGCTAATTGTTAAAATACAAATTGAATGACAAAATTAATTGATTTTTATATACAGCATGTGACACCAAAATAAATTTTATAGGGCAGTGGATTTAGACTCTCACTTCCCCAAAGTTACATTCTATATAATTGTGGTCTCCATCGTTCGTATTATTTAACTAGCAGGGTTTTTAAAGAAATCGATAATTAAAGAAATAATTATGATCAAAGTCATCTTACCTCTGGGAAGACTCTTATAAGATTTGTCTCAATGTGTAGATCAAACAACTTTTCTTTGTGGAATTCCACATGGTACAAGACTCGTTCCAAGTAATGATGAAACTTAAGAAGTGAAAAATAAATATATGTCAGGAAAACCTAAGTAGAACTTGTAACTTATATTGCATACTTCTTGTTCCAAAATACCAAATATCTTTTACTGTTAAGTATCATATGATCAATAAAAAGATAGCTTGAATTGAGTAAACTAACTACAGCTAATAAGAACATTATACAGATGAAAAACTTAATATTGAAAAAATACCTCAGCTTTTGTTTCAAAATAGTCAAAGAATTCTTTGTAAGGTTCCAAAAGGGCAAGTATTTCTACAAAAACACTCCATTCTTTACGACTGAAAAGGAATTTAATAATTTTTTTCTTTCTAACAGTTTTCAGGAACACATATCCTTAAGAAATGCTTTCATCCAAAGTCCAAAATTAATTATTTTTCTTTTTTAATAATATTTCAATAATCAACAATGTCAATTATTATTAACTAATGCTAAAAATAGAAATGCAAATTCTTAAGCATAAATCACCTGTCTGCCTGAAGGGTTGTAATAAAAATAGCAATTAATTCTTTTTTAAGTGTCATGATATCATCTTCATTGACATCTTCATGACATTCTATGCTTTCATTAATTCTGAATGGATATAAAGAAAGAAATTACCAAGTTAAAATAAATGCAAAATTTACTTCAAAAAATGTTTTTTAATAAATTAGTTAAGTATCTAAATTTGGTTTTAAATCAAAACAATCTTAGTCTTAATAAGCATGATGCTAAGTTTGGGTGGGTATGGTCTATTAATAAAAAGAGGTTCACATGGTATGGTTATATTGAGTTGTAATAAGAATAGACTTTTATTATAAAGTCACTTCAAACAAATAGCAACTTGTCAGGCATGGGATCAAATGTCAAATTAATAAATTATTTTCATAAATTTATCTTCAAATCCAATACATTTTGTTAATATCTTAAAACAGTACCTTGTTCTGAGCTCAAGTGCCCAATTCCCAGCTATTTCTTTATGTGTATAACAATGAGCTTTTGGTAAGGAGGGTGAGGCCACCAAGGAACTACGACCAGTGGCCACTGATGGTAGTTTAGTGACATCACTAATACTACTAATAGAAATGCCAGTAATGGGTAATTCCACTTTAGACATCTTCACTGCTCACCAATTAGATACTAGATAAATGAAACTAAAAGTTGTCAATTTAATAATATTTTACATCTCTATGAATTATACACCTAATTTAATAAACATTTATTCTAAATGATTTATGGAAAATACTCGTCTAAACTAAGACTAAAGTCAAGTCAGTTCAGTAAAGTCTCAGTAAAAGTAGTGTAGTGTAGGGTAGGCCTATGCCTATGCCTATGCTATTTTAAACTATTTACTATTTATTATTTGTAACTAGACTGAACAAAATCGAAGAAGACTAGTTCAGTCAAGATTATGAAAAAGTTTTAAAATAAGATAATACAGCCATTTATTAAGTGTACCCTTTTTTAATAGTTACAGTTTCACTCATCGTTTATTATTTAATATTCTTTTCTTTGAAAAGTCGATACTGTTAGCTTTGAGCGTTGTCAGGCTGCCATCTTCGTCAACTCAAAACATTGTAGGTCCGCATAAAATACAAATAACTTCAATAAATAGTCAAGTAAAACTTATAAATAAGTTATTAAATATTAATGACAATTAAATTCTTAGATATGGAATATAGATTTATATGAGGATTATCAAATTATATATAAAAAATATAAATTTACTGCGGAATAGCTTAGCTTGGTAGACAACCAAATTTGCCTATTTTAACAAGCCTTTAAATAAATAAATGCTGAATAAATGATAATTAATTTTATGGTTGGGTGAATAGCAATTGATTTGAAAGTATTTTTTAAATTCATTTCGCCTTGTAATTAAACTGAGCTGAGCTTATAAATGTTACAATGATAACATGTGGAATACAGCTCAGGTTTAGTTAATTATTAATAACCAATTATCGATATCCGGAATTACTCAATACTAGAAAATTATTTTATTATTATTACCATACTTAAGGATCTTATTATTTTAAATTTACCTAATATATTCCAACTTATCATGACTTTACAATGCTCCTTTGCAGGCTGCTTGTAATAAATTGTTTCCTTAGAAATGTCTGGTAGGCCAAGACCTGTCACTGCAACTGTGACAAAGCCTTTGTAAGTTACCTTACTTAATAATGCTTAATAACTTATGATTATGTCAAGTTATGATTGACTAACCATTTATTTAATATTATTTCCATTGCAAATAAATAATATTGGACATTGGTGTAGACTACAGTGCAGTTTGTTTTATTGCATAGACAAATTTTTTAGTTTTAACATTTGTATTAGTCAGTTAAATAGTATTAGTATTATTAGTATGCCACTTACAAAACCTGCTCTGCTAAATAACTTCTGCTTGATTTTGAGAAAAAGCTGTTTTTGTAAATTAACTTTATATAGGTAATATAGCAATTATATATTTGTTACGTTGACATTTTGGACTAATAAAAAAAATTAGGCTTTTAATTCATTAAATGCATAAAAAATACTGTAGAGTATGTCTCACTTTCAAACTAAAAGTAATTAAAATTTAATCTAAAGCAAACTTCAATATTAAACTATTAAATTTATAAAAGTGACATCTTCTGTCAGAATACATCCATCACGCAAGATCTTTACACCCTCCTCCCCTTACCCTTTCCTGTGTCACAAACTGTCTCACTTTTCTAAACCCCTTTCCCCCCCCCCTTCCAAAGCGTGCCATACTTTATGGATGGCCCCAAAATGGATGAATCAATTTTTTTTAAAAAAAGTGACTTAGTAGGTTTTGCAAGTGACCTTATCATTAATTAACTGCAGCAGATTTTTTTACTTTAACTCAAGATTAAGTAAGATATCAGTGTAATATCACTAAATTCCTAACTAGATTCTTCTCACTTACCATAATAAGTTTTTTTTTCATACTTAAAGAATTTAAAGTTCATGTTATTTAGAAGTTCAAAAGGAACAGCAAAAGAAATTTGAAATAATCTCAACTTTATTGCAAAAATGACTCATTAACATTATTCCTTTTAACAGATGGATGCAAGTTCCTAACCCTGCGACTATCAGAAAAATTCGCCGAAGGTCTTTAGAATCCTCAGGATCTACAGCATCATTAACATCATTGTTAGAACACAGTAGTTATGACAGTGCTTCTGAAGATGAAATATACTCTGAAAGAGTCATACCAATGGCATATGACTCTGATAATTCAGATAGAGCTAAACAACAAAGACAAACAACTTTCATAAAATCTAGTTCAAATTCCAGGTCAATGTTCTTGAAATGTTATAACATTTAGGATTGCTTATGATAAATTACAGAGGAAACAAACTCTACTACTATGGTCATGGTTAAATAATCATATTTTATTTTTTACAGCAATAACAACTTAAGTTTAAAGTGGTTTTATAAAGATAAACTTAAATATACTAAGTCAGATAGCCATCTACAAACTGAGCTTGTGCATCCGTTTTATTTTTTAAAAAATTTTTTTAGGTTTACCTAATTGCAAAAAGGGTAAATTAATGTCAAATACTCCTTTAATGCACCGACTTCATTGTGGGATTAAAATCTTTGCTTTTTTCAGATCTCCTTCTCCAGGAAAGTCATCCCGTTCAGAAAATAACTTATCAGCATGGGAAAAATGGGTGATTGAGAAAGCTAAAGAAGAACAAAAGAAAAAGATAGAAGATAACCGTAAAAAAGAGGAAGAGAAGAGGGTGAAGGAGAAATTAGAGCAAGAAAAACGGATCAAAAATCTTAAAGGCTTAGTGTTACAGCAATCGTGGACAGAAAAGAAACACCAGGAGCTCATGCTGCAAAAGAAGTTAGAAAAAATGAGAATACAAAATGAGAAACGCAAGAAAGCAGAGATTGACCAGCAAATAAGGCAAAAGGCAACAGAGAAGTTTGCAGAGTGGCAAGATAATAAGAGAAGGGAAGAAAAAGAAAGAAGGCGGAAAAAGAAAGAAGAAGAGCAGCATCGGCAGCAAGAAGAAGCTAGGAGAAAACAACTTGCTGAACAAAAGTTTCAAGAATGGTTGAAAGAGGCACACAAAAGACCTAAATCTGCACCAAACAGTTTTGGTTATCTTTCAGGGAAAATGACAGGTGAGAAATTTAGTTCATATCAATGTAAAAAAAAAAAAGTCAAATATTTTAATCTATTTTTTTTTTTTAAATTAATGATTTAAAAAATTTTATACCAGTAGGCAGAATAATCCTTTTTTTTATTTTTTACTTAAAATTAATCCAAGTAAAAACAATTACTTTTTTAATTTAATCCTTACAAATAAACAGTTTTGGTTAACTTTCAGGGAAAATTACAGGTGAGAAATTTAGTTTATATCAATGTAAAAAAAAAAAAGTCAAATATTTTAATCTATTTTTTTTTTTTAAATTAATGATTTAAAAAATTTTATACCAGTAGGCAGAATAATCCTTTCTTTTATTGTTTACTTAAAAGTAATCCAAGTAAAAACAATGACTTTTTTAATTCAATCCTTACAAATAGGCCAGGGAAATAGTTATGATTTATCTTATGTTAGTTTTATATATCCTAACCATTCCAGCATATTTTCTTGGTCAAGATATTATATACGTTTTCAGGCTATCATGACCGCAGTGCCTACCCCCAGCCAAGTTTCTTCAACCCCATTCCTTGGCAGCCTCCAGCTATTCCAACTGTATTGCAGAAAACAGAGAAGACTCACAGATCTAAGCCTAAGATTTACAAATGGAATCCAGACAAATACTTTTAATATTACTCAAGTGAAAATTTATTGGCCTAGTACTTCATTTTTTAAAATGCCTTTGCCTTGCTTTAGATACAACAACAAAGAGGGTAGCTTTAAAATATTGGCACATGCTCAAAGCTTATGTGATATCTTGATTAACTTTGTAATCTCTATCACAAGATAACATTACATGTAATAAACTTTTTTGTTTGCACCTTAAAAGCCCGATGGGTTTGCCCTGCTGCATTACTGAACCAAATTATATTTGAAATATAAAATGTGTGAATGTGTTGGACTCTGGAATTTTCAAAATTAATTTTATGGATTTTAGTTATTATGCTAATTTAGTAGATCATGTTATTCCTACAAATTCATATCTTTTACAGGTTTCCGCCCATGTTACACATCTGGTGAAGCTAAATCATGTCAAACTTTTAGCCTGAAAAGTCTGTAGTTCTTAAGTTATAACTCAATTTTTTAAATCTTTGTATTTAAAGGTAGAAATATGTATCCTTAATAATAGTTTATTTATTTTATAATAAAAGTTTAAATGTAAGCAAAATATTGTATTTGAATTTATTTGATTGTATTGTATCTATGCAATAGTAAAATATCTATTAAACGCTTTAATGTTTCTACTTTAATTTCCAGGTATTGTAATTTAAGAATATAATGTCCTTATCTAATGCATAGATTTTACCCAACACTTAAGTCTTATGTGAGACATATTGCTCTTTCAAATAATTTTCTAGTGACATGTAATATGTAAAAAAAATGAACTAAATAAAAAAATTGGTAGAAGTAGAAATACTTTTTATTTCAGTATTTTTGTAACAAATGAATAAATCAAATTAAGATTTTAAAATTAAAATAAAAAATGCAACAATGCAAACATCCAAAATTCAGCCTGACTGCATAGTTTTGAGATCTTAGGAAAGCTCACAAATATACTTTCCAAAGGACAGAGGTAAAATTTCAGTTTTGTTAAACTAAAATTTTGAATATTGTGTAAATGCATATGATAATACTAAATGTCAAATACAGAAAATAACAATTGTTGAATAAGATTGCATTTAATTTTTAAAAAATTGTTTGTTTGCAAACGTGGACCATATTCGATGCTCATAATACAATTAATAGGGGTGCTATCATACCCATCAAAAAGGGTGCTATTATTTAAAATTAATTTTATCCAAGCCTTACTATCTCATTAGGTCAGTGACACAGTATTATGGTTCTTAATCATTTTTGTAATTGTCTACTGGAGACTGACCTGAAAAGGACTGACAGGTTCATTCATTTATTTGTCTGTGAGGGAGACAAAAAGGAAGCTATACTTTATATTAAGTGGCTTTCTTCCAACAAAAACTGACACAGATCATTATCGAGAAAATAAAACGTGAATTATACCACTTGAAATCTTTTATCACAGATTATTTCTCTAATGAATTTGCATAAAAATAAAATGTTCCATATTTTCAAGATCAAACATCCTTTTTTTTTTCATTTAAGAAACATTTTTAAAAATTGTGAATGAATCTGAATCCAAAAACCAATTCAGCTATCAAACTCAAATGTTGGGAAGGCAGCTTTTGTTGGGCTCAGCATATCTACCAAGAAGTAAATAGTTCCAGCCATTCCTATGGAAAGAGTTTAAAAAAATGCTTAAATTAAAAAGCCCTGAAATACTGTTTTAGCTCAATTAAATGCAGTGTATTCCTATTGGTAATATGTTAACAGGGCAGCCCTATTTTTTCAAAGAATTATGAGAAACCTAAAAATAGGAAAAGAACCTTCATTTGACAAAACTAGCACTTATTAGTATTATTAGTAAGAATAAACAATATCTACCTAATGAAAACTATGTTAAAACTTGATGTGCTAACCTTCAAATAAAGAATAGGGGGTATCAGCATTGTGACAGCCATGTTGTCCATAATCAAAACACCATTCAGCAAACTGAAATGAAATGAATCCGGTAAAAGTTGATAAGTGCTCAGAACTACCTTTTACCACTAGAAAGAATCAAGAAAGCCCTGTTACAAAAACATTCAACTTCTTTCAAAAAGTTTTCAAATTTCTTTTGTTGTCAAATCTTTCAGAATTTCCATTGCAATTCTGGGCTTTCTTTATCAATATTTTATAATATTTTGAGACAAAGTTAGTTGATTTAGAAATTATAATTTTTTTTTTTTTTTTAAATTAACAAAACTAGCAAAAACACAATCCAACAGTTGTGAACATTCAAATTAAAATAAAACTTAATTAAAAAGAAATACCACATATATTACCTTATAAGCATAGTAGAGGTATTTTTCATTTCCAGTAAGCTTATACAGTGAAATAAATGTGTAGGCGTTTCCTGCTGTGCCATGGCAAAGTCCGTAACCTTTTTGCAGCAGACCTCGCTGCCACACAACTTCTGCACATTGCTTGGCTGCTTCTATGTAACGCTTGTCTTTGTAAATCTGATTGTCAGGAACAATATATTTCACTAATGAGACAAAGAGCTGATCAAATAACTAAGAGTTAGATTGAAGTTTTTTAAGTCGAGATATTTGCTATTGATAGGAAATTGTGATTCATTTAAAAACATTTAATATGACTTAATTAAGAAATACGTAAAAAATTAATGTTCAAATACTGTATTAGCCAAAATATACACAACTGAAATCACTGCATCTTGAAAGCGTATATGTGTTTGTCAGCGGTGCACAGCTCCAGCTGCCACATGTTCCCAATGAAAATGAAGATATGTTTTCCGTTGTTGGAAATGGGTCTCTCGATGGAGAAAGAGTATTCATAGTTAAGCCTTATTTTTGCTCTCATGTTAGTGGTTGTGTAGGGGGACTGAGTGTAAAAAAGGCAGCACAACTATTTCGAGAGAGATTTAAAAAGACTGCACTAAGAAACATAGTTATGCTGTCACTTGTTCTAAAATTTCGCTGTTTAGGGAAGGTACCCAGTTATTGAAGGGTCAAGTCTGATTAACCAGTAAGTGAATGTGACTTTTGGTGGAGAACCACACATTGCTATATAAATTTGGATCCTTGTAACAATGGCCAAAAATGTTCCACAATACATCATCTTGATTTGCATATCTTGCTCCATCAAGTATTGTCCAACCTGTATTCGGTAAAAAGATAAACCTATGTCCTTAAACAATAGGTTAACGGATATATTGCTGATGTTCAGTTTCAAGGATGTTCCTCAAAGACTTTGGAGGGCCTAATGCAGCACCTGCTGGAGAAAGTGCGTGATTCTCATTTATCCTAACACTTGCTGGTTCGACAAGGCTTTCCCTCCCGTTAATACTAAGTTCCAGTTCCAGAAATGATAAATTTCGTAATAATGAAATGCGAAACTGTGTTACTTGGTGCCATCCTATTAAATCTCTCCAAATTGATCTGCCAACATTATTCAAACATAGTCTCCCTTTATGATCATTTAAATATGAGTGATAATATAATACTCAACTATTAATACTGTTTCACCCATTAGGAAACCAATTTCCAAAACAACTGCCCAACATATCTTCCCTTTCACAAATAGGAACATATGGCGGGTGGGGCTATGCACTGTTGACAAAGGCATCTCCTAACCCTTCAAGATGTGGGAGTTTCAGTACTATATATAATTGCAAAGTCTGAACAAAAAAGGGGCTCCAAATTTAAATGTTTAAAGGAAAATGTTTAGGTATTATTAAAATGTGAAATTCTTGATGTTTAAAATTTTGAAGCTGATAGGGTTCTGTTTTAGGCTTGCTTTATCTCTTTAATAATGTTTAGCACGATTTAAACAATTGGCAAAATTAGATGACTTGCACAATAGTTTTTTTTTAACTTTAAGTTAGGTTTCAAAATGGTGGTGTCTTTTTGGACCAATGGGTCTTTACTGTCTGGATTAAGGGCTTTGCTTCACTCTTAGTCTTTCACTATCAGAATTAGCTCACAAGGCAGTAAGCCTTGTTCATTGCACAGGTGTTTGCAGCAGACATGTTCAGTTTGCATTGGGATTTGATCTTGTCTCATGTCTTACAGATTCAGCCACCCTGAGCTTGCCCGCTCTGTCACTCATTTTCTATATTTTTAAAATGCCTTTTTGTAACAATTAATATAAAAAGTGATACCTTGTATCCCTGCACAAATAAAGGTGCCCAACCAGGTGCTCCATGACACCAATGGACAAGCTTATCCTGACCAACACTACCAAGAGAAGAAGGACAATTTCCTGAGGCAAATCTCAAAGTCATCATATAATCAATACAGGGTCGAATCAACTGGCGAATTTGTTCTTGCAGGGTAGGTTCTTTAACCTATGAAAAAAATCTTTTTTTTTTAATACTTACAAAATATATCTTAAGTTTTGTTGAGGAAGAAGACATTAGGATTTGTCACAAATGACAAGGAAAATCTGTAGCAAAATATTAGCTTGTTTATCAAAATCCTAACACTTATTTTCATCATCCCATTATGAGGGAAAAACTAACACATGAAAAGACCTGTTTTAATGTAACAAAATTTACATTTTTTTTCAATGTGTGGGTGTCTATCTTGTCATTAAGCTTACTATTACACATATGTTTCGGTGTAACACAGAATTTTAGTTTTGCTTTAATCAATGATACCTGGAGAAGCATGAAGTATATTCCAGCAAGTCCATGAGCTGCACCAAGGTAAGGCTTTTCGTGCCATTCATACATAAGAGGGTGTTTACATCTGTCTCTTTTAGCAAGCTTTTGACCTGAAGCCAAAACAGCCTCAACCACCTGGAAATTGCAATAAGTAAATAATTAGAGAATGGAAAAGTTTGTTGACTGAATTCTTAAGTACTGTAAATTGTTTCTTATATTCAAATACCTGGTTACAGTGGAACTTCCAAAAAAGTATAATATAGTCTCAGAATAGTACTTAACCGTCTCAGAATTGAACAATACCACAATGTAATAGTATATAAATTAACATAAAGTATAATCCATACAATAACTATTTCCATTGTGTGTCTAATAAAGGTCACTTCTCAAAGTAGATGGCTGACGTTTATATATTTATATTAAGTCCATTATTGTAAATAAAAGGTGCATGTCGTTTGCCATTTTGATAGATGATTATGTGGGGGGGTCTCCATTTTTTCAATTGGCCCCGTTCAGCCAAAGAACAAAATAATTATGTCACAAACTTACCATATACAGCAGAAGCAATAAATGCGAATCTTTACTAAATTTGTCACTAGGGAGAAAATGCTAAATATTATTGTTGCTGTATCTAGTGAGTTCATTTTGAAAACACAAAGTGGCCAGAAGCAGATGTTTCTAAGTTGCTTACGGCTTTGAGCTAGATTTGATGTGCAAGCACCACAGTGGTGAATGCTAAAGGTTAACGAATGGTGCTACTCTCAATCCTTTTCTTGCAGACCTGGTTCTATTTAATACTAAAAATGATGCTTTCATCTTAAGATGTTTTTATCCTATCTGCAGTGGTCTGGAACATTTTAATCAGTTTTTCTTAAAAGTTTGCATCCAACTGTCCCATTTGAAATAGAAAGGGCTTTAAAGCCCCAACACCCTTTGTATATCGAGTAC